AGCAGAATCTGTGTGACAAGTTCCATAGACTGAGGCAAAAACTTCAAAAGAAGGAGGCCTCCTGGGACCGGTGGTGGAACTTTTGCCTGGAACTCATAGTTCTCATCGCAACTTATCTGTTTTATTTTCTTTTATTTCTTTTCTTATTTATGATATGTTCCTGATAGCCTAGGGTAAGATCTTAAGCAAAGAAAAATGGGTAAGAAACATCCCTTGAGATGGGGGTCACTAACATGACCTTTCCTATGGGGAAACTGACGCTTACTTTATAATAATTTACAAAGCATGGGCTGGTGAGATGGCTCAGCGGTTAAGAGCACTGACTGCTCTTCTAGAGGTCATGAGTTCAAATCCCAGCAACCACATGGTGGCTCACAACCATCTACAATGAGATCGATGCCCTCATATGGGTGTCTGAAGACAGCTACAGTGTACTTACATTACATATAATAAATAAATAAATCTTTAAAAAAAAAAAAAGAAAAAAAATTTACAAAGCTACATAATAGTATTATGATAAATAAAAACTTTCTCAACAATAAAATTTCATATGGCTACACGTGTGTCATTAGAGGAAGACTTTGGTATATGGTAAAGAAAGCCTAAAATAAAAAGAATTCAAATAGTTTAAATTTATGCATTGAAGGTTTATTAAAAAAATCAGGTATTAGATGTTAAATAATAGTTGATCATAAAGATTAGTTAACCTGCTCTTGGAGATCTGCCACTAGCCTTGGATGACTGCCCCCTGAATACATCCCTTCAGAGTTGTAACACTTGAATGATTTTTATTATGTCAAATAATAATAATGATATTACCTGCTCTATTTGTGATTTATTGGATATATCTTTTCAGAGTTGGTATGCTTGGATGGTTCTTGTGCTTTACTGTGCCAAATGATAATGATGATTGCTTTCCTGAATACATCTCTTAAGAGTGGTAATATTTGTTTTTTCTATGTATAAAAATCCTTGCTTGAGAGCTCCAAAATACACTCAGATTCAGACTGCCTCTGTGTTTGTTTCTGTTTGTCACTGTCGAATCCTTACCCACCTAGCCTTCGAGGACCCTCATCCCAGGGACTCCCATACCTGACTGGGGTGATCAGTGGCAGTGACAGACACCAACTCCTGTCTCTCTATACCTGGCATCAAGGGTTCACGAGGCTTCAAACATCTTGGGTAGCCTCCCTGAGTCCCAGCACTGCATAGCACAGATAGCCTCTCTTTCGATCCAGTCCTCCTCATGTCTGTGTGATCTTCCTGATATGAACAAAGATATTCTAAGGAAACACACACCCTTTCCCCTCTTTTTGGTTACCAGACTATAAATAATGGCTCCCCATGAAACTGGAATTTCCCAGGAATCTTATGCCTGAGAAGGAAGACTGGAGCTCGGTGCCAGGCAGAAAAGGAACGTGGTTTTGGGAAAAAGATCTCACACAATTCTGAGAACTCGTCAGACCATCTTATAGAGGAGATTGGAGACAATGATTAGTCAGTGTCAGTGATGGATGGAACAGTATCTTGATCAGGACCTGCTTCTCTAGTTAAGTCTGAACCTCACATCAGGATCACAAAAATAGACCTGGGTGTCATTGGAACTCTTCGCTCTTTCTGATGTGGCCTCACCGAATCAACCTCCCTTTTCTGCTTTTCACTATTACTTGTGAGTTTAATTGGCCTGTGGAGGGTGGGTGGCCAAGCCTAGCTTGTTAGGGCTGTCAGGACTCAGGCTCTGATAAACCATGGCCAGGAGAAAAGACATATTGTGGGCATTACCCACTTGACCCCAGATGGAGAAAAAACATTAACCAGTCCCACACGGCGAGTGAAACCATCTTATTTTCTCACCACCACTCTCAGGTGTCCTGCTCCTAATTTGGTAAAGCAGGGAAAGATGTGTTTGGACTTTGTTTTGGATGCTTGAGAAAGTCTGACCTTTGGTAAGCTTCTCCCTGGTGGGTGCACCTCAGGTGTTTGTCTTCTTATAGTTTGGGGTCCCCTTTGAGCTGTTTGGTTTTGGGTTCTTTTTTCTTTGTTTTTGGTACCATTTCAGCCTGTGCTTTGTCTTTGGGAATTCTGTGTTATTGAGGTCTTGCTCAGATCTTTGGAGGTGCTGTGCTCTGTGTATGGCAATCCTTGTTAATTTGGCAGCTCTTTTGAGCAAATTAGGAGCCCTCTTGAGTTATTCCAGTACATTTCTACCCCATTACAGGGAGTGTTGTAATGTGTTGGTCTTTTGGGGTTCTCTTCTGTTAAACCCTTGGGGTTCTGTTGAAGCATTTGAGACAAAGAAACAAAGGTGTTGTGCTCTCTGTTGTAATTTCTGTAACCATGGGAACAGTATGTCTGTGTCACCTGATGCTGCCTAGAGAGAATTCTAGTGGACTTATCTTTTCTAAACGTAGGATAGCTAACTAATTAGCATGGGGCAAAAATCAAATTGCTCGTAGTATTTCTGAGAACAACTGAGTTGCAAACCTCTGGTCACTTCAGTTTGGGGTTTTAAAAAATAATGGTTTTTATTCATGTGTATGGGTGTATGACTGTGCTGTGGGTGTGTGGGCACCCATGGAGTTCAGAAGAAGGCATTGGGACTCCCTGGAGCTGAAGATAGAGGTGGTTTTGTGGTGCCCTGTATGGATGTGGGGCCCAGAACTTGGATCCACTAAAAGATGAACAAGCCCTGTTAACTGTAAATCCGTCTCATCTCTCCAGCCTTTTAAATATTTTCAAACTCACTGGACAGTAAAATTACTATTCTTGGCATAGTTAATTTGAAATGTGTGTGACGTGTATTCATTCATGAACGCAAATGCTTAGGAATGGCTGTATTAATACATATAGAGAAAAGTCTTGGGCTTGGGGTTCAAGGGGACGCTGAGTCAGGTTGACTTTTGGGTAAGAGCTTTGTCAGAAGAAATGTAAATGACACAGGAGACAGCATGGCAAAGGCTTTGAGGTGAATTCAACCGCAGTGACAGACAGATAGCTGGTGTGTGTGTGTGTTTGTGTGTGTGTGTATGCGTGTGCATGTGTGCACGCTCGTTGTGGGGTGTACTCCAGTCCAGGTGGAAGAACAGAGGCTTCCTTAATTTTCTTGGAGGGGAGGAGGCTCCATATCACGTGGTTGGTGACTCACCCATAGCTCAGAGCTGTAAACAGGCTGGCTCTCATTCCTGGGAAGTCAGGGGGAGAGACAGAGAGCTTTGTATTTGAGAAAGGCAAGTAGGACTCTGAGGATGTGGAGAAAGTAGGAAAGAGGAGACCCACTTAGTTAACGCATGGTTGCCATATTCGGGCGTGTCACAGGTAGTCACTGACAGCTGTCTGTCAACCTGGGGATAGTATGCAGAAGCAGCTCTGTGGGAGCTGGGAGACACATGGTGTGACCTGAGCAGTATCTGGTCTGAGTTCTAACATATACGTGTGGTGTCTCTCTCTCTCTTTCTCTCTCTCTCTCTCTCTCTTTCTCTCTCTCTCTCTCTCTCTCTCTCTCTCTCTCTCTCTCTCTCCTCTTCCTTGGAGGTGGGGAAGCTAATAAAAATTTAGAAATTTATTAGTCAACTGTAAATTTGGGACTAAGAACCAAATCCCCCAAATATCTGGGACATTACCTAAGTCAGGCCAGATTATGTTGACTGTTGGAAAAGAGTTAACGACAGATGTCCAAATGAAAGTAACTGGGCAAGGCAATTTCTTGCCCAGTTTTGCAAAAGGTGTGCAGCAATGCCAACCAGTGGATGAGCATAGCAGGGTGAGAAGGTCACGGGACAGCTGTCCTATGCAGGTGGAAACTCTGTTTCCCCTGGTTGGTGGGCGGTCCAACCCAATGTGACCTAATTCACAGTCACCCAGGTGGAGAAGGGTGTGGCAGAGTCGGACACTCCCAACTGTTAATTCTGGAAACTGAGGCTGAGGAACTCTTGCTACAGGATTTACAAGGTGGATAGTTCATATCTTTCTTTAAAAAAACATTTTTTTTGACACTCAAGGACAATTTTATTAAGACTTTAAAAAGAAAATCCCCAGAGTGAGTGGAGTGTAAATCTTGGCAATGCAGAGAGGAAAGAGAAAGTCATTCAGTCTGGGTTAAGCTGGCATGGAGGTTGGCCACATGGAAGACAGCAGACAGCCACGTGACAGACAAGTGGCTGCATGACCACGTGGCAGGCATGGAGCTTTAGAGAAGGAACAAGGAAGCCCAAAGTACCAGGGAGTGACTCAGGCTCTGGCAGCTTCTGAAAGAAAGGCAGAAAAAAAAAAAGACCCCAAATGTCTGGAAAGGTGGGCAGACCCACCAGAGCCTCGTCAGCGGGAGGGGCTGTCTGTGGCTGTCACTCAAAGATGACTGAGCTGTCCTAGCTGGGCAAGCTTGAGACAAACACTTCAAAGATGACTGGCCTGTGATCTGTATGTAGAGATACTTCGGAAGGATTTCTCTGCTTTGTCCATATGAAATATCCATATATTTTGTCAGCGTTCAAATGGCCTAACTTTGCTAACGGAGTAATTAATAACATAGTTTGTTGTGACTACTGATATGACACTGCATACTTCAACAACTGGCTTGTGGTATGTGTACAGTTTTTTTTTCCAGACAGGATGTGAGACTTATTACTGACATGATTTGGAGGGAACATCAAGAATGCAGGAATGGGCACTCGTTCAGGAGACCACGACTGGGGATGTACTTGACCCCACAGCCCTTAGGGCTGAACTGCTTCTCAGCAACCATGTCTTCAAATTCACCTGCATTAAACCTCGTGAAGCCTGTTTCTTTGAGATGTGAGTCTTCTGGTGGCCAGGGAGCTTGAACTCCCGGAGGAGCCTCAGTCACATGTTCCTTATTCTGCAGCTTGGTGCAGATGGACAGGATGACCTGGCCAGTGTGAACCCTGGCCACTGTTCCCTGGGACTTCCCAAAGGCACTACACATACCTGTCTGGAGCCTGAGTTGGGGCAGCTCTGAGATAAGAAAATTAGGACTGCCTGAAAATTGTCTCCAAGGTCTCTTAGGACAACCCATACAGGCAACAAGCTGCATACACTGCAAAAAGGCTTGTTTGCAAGCATTGTACACCAGGCCCCTCGGGGAAAGTGTATGTGCGTTTTAAATGACCACGTCTCTATATTTTACTATGGGATGTTTTAAATAAGATAATTGCTATGCTTTCTTTCTGTTGTTTTTCTTTTCAAGACTTTGACTACTTAGAGAACAAGGTCAAGGTTCATGTATGTGTCTCTGTGGATTAAAGTCTTCTAAATGGCCACTTTAGGACTGCAGAGATTGGCTCAGCAGTTAAGAGTACTTAACTGCTTCTGCTCTCCGTTTAACCTAAACCTCAAAAAATAAATAAAATAAAAAATAGGTCCAGCAAGAGTGGGTGAAGATGCTTTCTACCAAGGCCAACAGTTTGAGATGGATTCTGGGAATCCACGTGGTAGAAGGAGAAAACCCGACTCCTGTAAGATGTCCTCTAACTTCTGCAGAAACTCTTTGGCATGAGCGTGTGTGTGTGTGTGTGTGTGTGTGTGTGTGTGTGTGTGTGTGTGTCAAAAACTTCTCCTGGTGTTCCTTCTGGTTCCTTTTGCTGAGTTGAGCTGAAGCTGAGGCCTGGCTATCTCTGCTAGGTAGTGTCACTGCTGCTGATTCATGTTTGCTCTCCTGACTCTAGCGAACTGGAGAAGTGTTTGCAAGTGGATGGAGCTGCCGCTGCTGACCTGTGAACTGAACTGCCGATTTCCACACAACACAGATGGGTGTTGTTCCAAAAACCCTTTCTAAACAGGTCCATTTCCTCCATATCCTTTCTTTTCCACTATTTCTGGTGGGAGGTGGGTTACAAGAGAGGTTAAAATATTTAAAAACCATCATTAAAAATAAAGATTAAAGCTCTCCTTTTCCGGCTGGAACCATGGAGGTTGTTCCAGAGAAGAAAAAGAAGGTTGCTGGTGTGCCAGAAAGCCTTAAAAAGGTTCCTGCTGTGCCAAAAACTCTTAAGAAAAGGGTTCTGGCTGTGTCCGGAAACCCTTGAGAAAAAGCGAAGGAATTTCGCAGAATTGAAGGTGAAGCGCCTGAGGAAGACGTTTGCCCTGAAGACACTCCGAAAGGCAAGGAGGAAGCTCATCTATGAGAAGGCAAAGCACTATCACAAGGAGTACAGGCAGATGTACTGGACTGAGATTCGGATGACCAGGATGGCAAGGAAAGCTGGGAACATCTATATGCCTGCAGAACCAAAATTGGCGTTTGTTATCAGAATCCAAGTTATCAATGGAGTAAGCCCAAAGGTCCGACAGGTACTGCAGCTTCTTCACCTTCGACATCTTCAATGGCACCTTTGTTAAGCTCAACAAGGCTTCCATTAACACGCTGAGGATTGTGGAACTGTACATTGCATGGGGGTACCCCAACCTGAAGTCAGTAAATGAGCTCATCTACAAATGAGGCTATGGCAAAATCAATAAGAAGCGGATTGCCTTGCCGGATAATTCCTTGATTGCTCCGTCTCTTGGTAAATTTGGCATCATCTGCATGGAGGATCTAATTCATGAGATCTATACAGTGGGAAACGCTTCAAGGAAGCAGATAACGTCCTGTGGCCCTTCGAATTATCTTCCCCACAAGGTGGAATGAAGAGGAAGACAACTCACTTTGTAGAAGGTGGAGACACTGGCAACAGGGAAGACCAGATCAACAGGCTTATTAGACGGATGAACTAAGGTGTTGCCTGTGGTATTTTTTTAATCTGGTCAGTTAATAAACAGTCACAGCTTGGCAAATTTGAAAAAAAAAAGATTAAAAAATTTAGGCTGGGCGGTGGTGGCGCACACCTTTAATCTCAGCACTTGGGAGGCAGAGGCAGGCGGATTTCTGAGTTCAAGGCCAGCCTGGTCTACAGAGTGAGTTCCAGGACAGCCAGGGCTATACAGAGAAACCCTGTCTCGAAAAACAAAACAAAACAAAACAAAACAAAACAAAACAAAAAAGACAAAAAAAAAATTAAAGTAACAAGCATGGCTTCCCAGTTCTCAGGCCTTCTGCGCTCCTCTGTTGGTGTAACCCTTACTCTTGCTTCCGTCTTGTATTCCTGATTTTGTAACATTTGTGTCTTCTAAGCCATGTGACAACTTGAAACTAAAGTTCCTACTATTTAGGGTTGTAATCAGTACTTACCACTGAAAGCCAGTGCTTCTCTTTAGCAGTAGATGGATGATCTTGTGGTCCCTCTTAAACAGTGACTACACCCCCATCCACATGAAAGGAGCTATAGAAGATTAATTCATCATCACCCTCACCCCCATCCCCTATTTCTTAGGGCCAAGTCTCTCAGAGGCATGGGACTGGTGAAAGTTACATCAAGATTAGCATATGAAAGAAGCCAGTTGTCAAACACTGGAAGCCCTTCTCCACTGGGCTACACACAATAAACAGAGCATCCCTGAGAAAGCCCACCTCATGTGAACTGGGACAGGTAGGAACTATGTAGATGACCTAAAAATGGCCACCGATTTCATGACCTGGTGCTTCAGAGAACAAGCTTTCCCTCTGTTCACCGGCCCAGCCCGGTTCTCAGAAGTGCTTTCTTGTTTTAATAATCTGTGTCTGTTTCTATTTCTAACCATGTGCCCCTTGCTGGCCCAATGCTTTGCCCTCAGACACAAAGATCTGGAAACTTGAGTGGATGGCCACAGACTCAAATCCTCACTTGTAACACTAGGTTCACTTGCCGGTGCCAAAAAGAAAATCAAGAAGAATTTATTTCAGCTTACAGTTCAGAGGCTCCGATCCATGGCACAGTGATTCTGTTGTTTCTGGGCCTCTGCTCTCTGAGGCAGAGCATTGTGGCAAATGTGGTATGCTGGATCAGAACTGCTCACCTCATGGTGGACAGGAAGCAAGGAGGAAGGGGCAAAGGTATAGCTTTGGCTGTCCTGGAACTCACTCGGCAGACCAGGCTGGCCTCAAACTCAGAGATCCACCTGCCTCTGCCTCCCAAGTGCTGGGATTAAAGGCGTGCACCATCACCTCCTGGCTGTTCAAGGTTTCCCTTTAATGGTGCTAATCTCTTTAACCATTACAGATACTTTCTCAGCACCTACCTTGTCTGCACCTTGAAACTCTCTTCTTTCCCCACACCTTCATATCTTTCTTTTCCACTTACTTCTGTCTCTCTCACTGGATAAGGGCGGTAAGCAGTAAGCACGACACAGTCCGAATGTTAGCCTGTTTTTGAAATATCCTCTGTCAAACAGATTTGTCAGTTACTTTTGAACTCAGCCTCACTGATAACCTCAAGGCACGGGCGGATTACAGCCCGGGTTCTTTGCACAATGGATCAAAAGTAGACTCCTGCTCAGTTTCTGATGAAGTCCTTGTTCCCCCTGAATCTCCTGGAGCTGGGCCTCTATTGTCTGGATTTCTTTTGGTATTCTTGTCTTCTGAACTTCTGCCAGGATGGTGCAGTAAAGTCTGTTTATAATATTCTAGAATTTCTATAGTGTAAAGCTGCAAACTCTCCCATGGTCTTCTGGCAAACCCGTGTCAAGGGCTTACAACGGACCAGGTGGTGGGGTTTGTCATGGCAGCCGTCCACTTCTTCACACTGATATTCTCATTGCTTTCCTATGATACTTTCCAAAAGTAGCGCCAGGGAGGAAGAGTTTCTTATGGCTCACAGTTCAAGAGGGGTCCAGTCCATCAAGGAGGGAAGTGGGGAGTTGGACGCTGCTGTTCCACTTGATTTTCCACATTTAGATTGGTCCTCCTACCTCAGCTAACCCAATCTAGCAACTCACTCAGAAGTGTCCTTAAAGGTTTGTTTCATGGATGAGCTGACATCCTGTCAAGCTGATGTGATGAACTCTCGTCAATACAATAGCTGGGTTTTCCACAGCAGCGGTATTGTTTACGCCTTCACTGGCAGCTCACGAGAGCTCCATTTTCTACTGTGCTTGACAACATGTTAATTTATGTCACCCAAAATGTATAGCCGTCAGGGGTGGGGGAGTGGTTCTCAGTGGTTAAAGGGCTTGCCATTCAAGAGTGAGGACATGAGATAGATCCCCAGCACCAGGTTGATACCAGGTGTGCACTATGGCTTGCCTATAATTCCAGCCTTAGAAAGTAGAGACACAGGATCTCCCGAGCAAGCCGGCTATCAAGCCTAGCTATCTTGGTGGATTCTGGGTTTGATTGAGACACCCTGACTCAACAAACAAGGTGAGACAAAGATTGTGATTCTAGACGTTATCATCAGGCCTCCTTATGCGGACACACCTTTTGCATCTGCAGCAGCCTACGCATGTGCCGCCACACAAGCAAACATTCACACGCACTTCACACACACACACAAACGGAAAAAGAAAAGAATTATAGTTCCCAGTTGGCATAGGTAGTATGTCAATTTGGTTTTGATTTGCTTTTCTAAGAGACTAATAATGTGCATATTCCGAAGTACTTAGTGGCCATTTGTATATATATTTCTGAAAAAGTTTATTGAATTTTTGTTGATTTATTTTTTTAATAGTATTTCCTGTTATATATTATTATTTAAAATGATATTAACATGCTATTAATTATTAATATTATTAATAAATATTGTTAATATTTTGTTAATAGATAATTTAAAAATTGGATCGTTTGTCTTTTTTATAACTATGACAGAAAGTTTTTTTTTTCTTAATGTATACTAAGTACTAAATCCTTATTGAGTATGAAGAAGGGAAGGGAAGTACTGGGACTGGTAAGGTACTCAGCACAAACCTAATAAGCTCCTGGAGCCCACATTAAAACACCTGATGTCTGTGATCCCAGCATTCCCTGTTAAGATGGCAGGAGAGACAGACATCGCCTGGAAGCTCTCAGCCAACTGCCTGGAGTGCACAAAGCAGCAGAAACAACCAAAGGGACCCTGCTGCAACAAGGTGAAGAGAGAGCAGACTCTCAAAAGTTGTCCTCTCGGGGCAGAATGCTTGCAGCTCTTGCAGAGGACCCTGCTTCAATTCCCAGAACCCCCATCAGGTGCCAAGGGATCTGATGCCCTCTTATGGTCTCTGTGTGCACCTCACGCACATGGGGCGCATACTGACAAGCAGGCACACATTGACACACATAAATAAGA